AAAAAAAAAAAAAGAGGAACTATGGGACAGACTCAAGGTGGTAACTGAAAATGCCATAACAGCTTCTTAACCAAAGGGACATGAGGGAATGAGAAGACTTAGAAGGCAAACAACACAATAGAAATTGGCTATGAAAGAAAATAGATGCCYTGCACAAAGGATGTTTTGAACAAGCATCCAAAAAGCATAATAAGAACCACTTGGAAGCCAAGTATGGTGGCACACATCTGTAATCTTCATGACTAGGGAGGAAGGAAGATCACAAGTTTGAAGACACTCCGAGCAACTTAGCAAGACCCTAAGCAACTTAGATCCTGTCTCAAAAAAAGTTTAAAAAAGGGTTAGGGATGTGGCTCAGTAGTAAAGCACTCCTGGGTTCAATCCCCAACACCAAAAGAAAAAAAAAGGTGAGGGGGTGGGGGGGATTGGATAGAGAGAGGGTAAAGGAGAACAGGAATACAGGGCTCAAGGCTAGGCCTATAGAATAGCACTGATAGAAGTGTCTATTTCAAAGAATTTAAAATGGGTTTTGAAGATTTTGTTCCATGATCCACCCCCACAGTGACCACCATCACCATTCTTACAGACAGCAGGCGATAAATATAGCAGGTCTTCTTTTGACCATCACGCCAGACCCTGGCCATGGCTTGTTCATCGTTGGCTGGGTTCCAGTCAGGGTCAAACATGATCAGCCGGTTAGCCCCAATGAGATTGAGGCCACAGCCTCCAGCTTTGCTGCTCAGCATGAAGACAAAATCAGGGCTCTGGAAAAAAAGAAAGCAGGGGAGCAAGAATCTCTTGTAGCCTAAACTGGGAACCTCCTCATCCCAGCCACTTCTACTCGTACTCAGTTGTGATAACCCATACTTTGCCTGCCACCTAGCCAATTTCCCAGTCTACAAAATCAGTTTTCAGTCCAGAAATGACCAACAAGCCTAACCCTCACCCCCATATCCCGCCCCCAAACAAAACCCAAAACAAAAAAACTTGATGTAGCCAGGCATGGTGGCACACACCTGTAGTTCCAGCAACTCAGGAGTCTGAGGCAGGAGGATCACAAATCCAAAGACAGCCTCAGCAATTTAGAGACACTCTGTTGCAAAATTTTTWAAAAAGGCTGGAGATATGGCTTGRCGATTTAGCAATCCTGGGTTCAATACCCAGTACCAAAAAATAAAAAAGAAAAGAAAAACTCTGACTGTAGAACCCATTTACATCTTCTCTATCAAGTGTTAATTCTGATGTTACTGCACTGGTGGTGTGGGGGCAGGGGCTATGCATTTACCGATGGACAGTTGAAGCGCTCCACAACCTTGGCTCGCTTCTTAATGGACATTGTACCATCCAGGCGGACATACAAGTACCTGAAGAGAGATCCAAAGATCAAAACCAAGAGGAAAGGAGGGCCCCCCTTGGAGCCATGGCCCCTKAAGGGTCCACCAAACCATGTGTGAGGCTGCTCATGTCATAGCTTTTTGGTATTCCCAAAGAGAAGGGCAGGGAGCTAAGGGTCAGGACTCTGACCTGTGGGAATACCTGAAGGACCAGTGGGGGGATTCTGCTTAGACATGGAGCTAGAGCCATCACAACAATAAGAAAAGAGACATATTCATGGAAATCCTTCATGTACCAACATCTTGAACCATACCCACCAATCAGAATACCTAATCTTTCTAGAAGGTGGTGAGGAAGCACATCCCTTGCCAGCCTATTTAGGATCCTCCTTACCTTCGAACCCGACAGAGCTTCTCAAAGAGATCCAATGTCTGGGTATAATTGGATACCAGCACTACTTTGTCACTGCTGCGGCTTCGTGTCACTGCCAGAATATAATCGAGGACCAGCATCTTACCTGGAATAAACAGCAACCATCAGTCCCTCCACTGGCCATCCCAATGGACCAATTCTTGCTTTTTTTCTTTTTTTCTTTTTTTTTTTTTATTTTTTATGGTGCTAGGGATCAAACCCAGGGACTTGTGCATGCTAGGCAAGCACTCTACCACTGAGCTACATTCCCAGCCCATATTCTTTATCCTGCCTTGAGACAGGATGGCTCCAGCAAAAATAATTTCCCACTGTCCTTCCACTGCTCTTCCTGGAAAGGTCCATATACTGGCAGAAAAGCTTACCTGACAGCTGTGGCTCTAGAGCCTTGGAGCTATAACCAGGGGGGAAGATGTCCAAGGCACCCTCAAAACCATCCTCCTCTTCCACACACTTATCATATATGAGAGCTGGATCTGAAAAACCAACAAAACAAAAACTCCACACCACAATACAGCTACTTTGCTTTCTGAAGTTTCTACTTAAGAGCTCACTAGAATGCCCCTTAAATGCCCAATCTAGGAGGCCTTTTTCAGCAGCACTCACTCAGTCTCCACCTCCCAGTTCCAACAGGGTGCAGCCAGTAAAATCTGGGACCATGGATGAATAATTTCACTCCCTAGTGTGTTCTCCCAACAAGAAGGGAGCTATACCAGAGCTCTCTAAGACATGGAGCTTTATCATTTTTCCTAATGCCTAACATTTTATATGAACATGTGTGTGCAAATGCTCACATAGTCTTGTACAACAAGAATCAAGCATTAGCTGGGCACAGAATAAGCTATATTTTCCAAAGCAATGGGTCTAGCTTATTAGAGTCCACAATGAGGGTTCATGCCTTGGGGAGGTTTGGAATCACAAGTGCTATAGGCTGCTATGGGGTCTCTAGACAATTTTACAGAAAAGTTACTGGACCATCTATGGGAGCCTGCTCTCCATTGCTCACTATACAGAAGATCAGGGCAAGGGCTCAACTCACGATTACAAAGCTTCTTCAGAGTGGTGATAGAAGAAAGGGAAGACACACTCATCTTGCCCTCACGCAACTCTTCTGCTGGCTTGGCCTGTCTCAGAAACCTCTTGTATAACTCAGTCTGAAGGGGTGTCAGCCTAAATAAAAAGGCAACTGGGTCAGTAGCAAAAAAGTGGACCAGCCAGGAGCATTGATACACTCCTATAATCACAGAGGCTTGGGAGGCTGAGACAGGAGGATCTCAAGTTCAAGGCCAGTCTCAGCAACTTAGCAAGGCACTAAGCAACAATCTGTCTTAAAATAAAACATAAAAAGGGCTGAGAATGTAGCTCAGTGGTGAAGTGCCTCAGGGTTTGATCCTACATTTCTGTCCTCTAAGGATATCTTCAGACCCAGCCCTGCTTCAGAAGCTAAACTTTCATTTTCACTCACGCTAWACCCTTCAGTTGATTTCAGTACCTGCAACAAACCACTTGCTCAATCTTTACAGGCAGATATTTAGAAAGGATATCAGAGGTCCTCCGTATCAGGCACCTAGTAAAAACAGAATAAAAAGACAAAAGGCTTGTAAAAACAACCATGCTGGAATAAAAGCTACCATCCAGAGGACCAAGACTGACTCTTTTGTAGTATAAAATGCCAAGGACCCATCGGCCCTTTGGTAAAGATATCTCTATCAGGGTCTCAGTCATGGGAACAGAGACCTTCCAAATAGCCAACCTTACAGTAACAACTCTGTCTTCCCATTAACAGGTTGGCTTCTCTCAAGAAAAGGCTGAGGTCTTCCATTGAGCCTAGGGCTCTCTCAGGGRAAGCAAACTTCAAACCAAGTCTTCAGGGGGGTTTCTGTCCGAATTTGCCTACATGTCTGCCAAGCTTATGATAGCTCAGGGTAGACCAAGGAGGATAGGGAGGCACCTAAGAAGCAGCTCCTAAGAWCACTCTGATTCTCCTCCCTACTATCTAAAATTAGTATGCAGATGTAACCAGGGCATTAGGAAAAGCAGAAAGACTATTTACAACATAACCCCATCAATTGTGCATACCTACAACAGAGGAGCCAGAATGCACCTGCCTGCATAGGATGTGGACACATRGAATAAGACGACCTCTTAGCTTGGGAGCTGCCTTTGAAGAATAGGTATCCTTCAGATCTACTCCTAAATATCAAAGAACAACTATGGAGCCTGGGAAGAGAAAGCTTCTGATATACTAATAATATACCAGGGGATATTTYGTTCAGGAAGTCCAGCTACATCAGAGAAGATTTTCATCAGTGGATTAGTAAACAGACTAAAACCAGACTATAGATACTATAGATTCTGGGCTAAAGAGAAAATAGAAACTTGAACTGCAAAACTCCATCATTTATTCAGTAGTCATAGTCATGGCACAGATCCAACCCCTTCCCTAGAATCACAGCCTTTGAGGGCTCTAATCAGACCAGGTCCCCAAAGGGTTGGCCTCAGATGGCATGAGAAGCAATTCGGATGACCTCGCTTGGGGTTGTTACCTATTCACAATGCTGATAAGCTCTCTCAGTCGCTCCTCCCCTAGCTGCTTATCTGCTTCACTCGCAGCTGCATCTCGACTCTTCAAAATTGGCATCTCAAAATGTTTCTTGAATTCATGGGCAGTCCCTAACACATGAGAAAAGAGAAAATTAAAGTACATGTGAAGGGCTGGGGTTGTGGCTCAGTGGTAAAGCGCTTGCCGAATATGTGTGGGGTACTAGGTTTGATTCTTAGCACCACATATAAATATAAAATAAATAAAGATCTATTGACAACTAAAAAATATTTTTTAAAAAGTACATGTGAGGGGCTGGGGATGTGGCTCAAGTGGTAGTGTGCTCGCCTGGCATGTGTGTGGCCCAGGTTCGATCCTCAGCACCACATACAAACAAAGATGTTGTGTCCGCCAATAACTAAAAAAAAAAA